TTTTCCTTGGAGAGGAGCCAAAATGGAAGGAAATCGTATCCGAACCCCTATCCAACCCCCTCTTTTTCCTTTAGAGAATTCCCAAAATGGAAGGAAATCGTATCCAAACCTCTATCCGACCTCGTATCCACGCCCTATGCAAACCCCTATCCAACCCCCTATCCAAACCCCTATCCAACCCCCCAATTTTCCTTGGAGAGGAGCCAAAATGGAAGGACCTATCCAAACCCCTATTGAAATCGTACTCCGTCTGGACGAAAGCGTATCGCTCCCCCTATCCAAATCGTATCTGAATCGTATCTCCCGAAATGCAGAATACGCCAATCGTATCAGTGAATCGTATCCAGACCCCTAAACCGAAATTATCCCTACATCGGGCCCTGAGGAGCAACTAGAAACTCTTGGCAGTAGCGGCACTAGCAGAGAAGCCTGCCATGCGCAGAGTACTTCCACCTGCGCGACCAGGATTTCGATCCCTAAACAAACTGCACTGCAACAAAGACGAGGTGTCGTGTGGGTGCCGTATGGTATAACTAAGTTTCTCACTACCAATGCATCCGTCTGTAGTTGTCTACCTATAGGTCTGTATGTTTGTAGGTTATGCTTTGTTAATGCTATGCTATGCTATGCTATACTATGCTATGCTATGCTAGTATGTTCGAATGAATGAATAACTGAATGAATTAAAAATGAACGAATGAATGAATGAATGAATGAATGAATGAATGAATGAATGAATGAAATGGAAATGAATGACTGAACGGAATGACAGAACTGGAATGAATGATTGAATGACATGAACGGAGTTGATTGCATGAATGAATGAATGAATGAATGAATGAATAAATGAATGAATGGAATGAAATGAACTGAAATGAAATGGATGGATGGATGGATGAAGGAATGAAATGAATAAATGAAATGAGTGGACTGATGGAATGAAGGAATGACTGACTGAATGAACAAATGAAACGAATGAACGAATGAATGAATGAAGTGAATGAATGAGTGGATGAATGGATGAGTGGATGAATGGATAAATTGGATGAATGAATCAGTGAATGAATGAACGGATGAATGAATGAATGAATGAATGAAGCAATTAATGAGTTTACGTGTTTTATGTACGTTTGCATGATGTCTGCATGCATGCATATATGCATGCACGCGTATGTACATGTATAAGAGGTAGGTATGTAGGTACGTACACGGACAACTTACTGCCAGTGGTTCACACATGATGGAGACAGCATCTTGAGGAAACCTTTAATTAAACGGAAATGAATGAGCAGCTTCGATGACCACTGTAAGAGCTGAGTCAACGAACAGAATGTGCGGGCAGAACCGGTAGCTGTCGGTCTTCGATTGTGTCACAGGTTCGAACACAAAAATCACCACATCAGCGATGCTAAAACACATACTGTTCACATCTACCGAAAGGAAGCAACTGACGAAGGCATGCCGGTCGATCGACTATGAAATGGAGCATAGAGGGTCAGCAGCATGAGACCGCTTGCTCTTCAGTGTGTGACAAACGCCCAGGTACTTTGACATCGCGGCCGCGTTGGCATCCCGTCTGTTCTTTATGAAGTTGCCGCAAGAGGGATGCAGAGACAGAGCGAGAGAGGGACCTGCATCTTAATGATTCTGAAGCTGAATGAAGGAACAAGGGCTCATGTTAGTTGTGCTCCTGAAGCCTCCACTAACTCTTGGCTCCTGGGCATGGGGAGTTCTCCCGCATGCTGTCTGAAACCCCGTTATCATCGTTGCAGACTTGGTGGAAGTTCTTCTGAAAGCATATCGCCACGGAACGGTGGTGGTGACGATGCTCACTGCTTCAGAATCTGCTGTGATTCACTTCTACGCTCTGGATCGCTCCTGATCCCACAATAAGCGACTTTTGACCTATCGGCCTGGCGTAATATAGGGGCCTTAATAATTAGAATTAGGATGGGGTTTTGGGCTCCTTTATCGTAACTATCATAGGGAACCCTAAGAATGATATATTGGAAATTATTTATTAGCTTCTGTATTATGCTTGTAAACCAGAGTTATCGAGGCATGCGTGCTGCTGCATGCCTGGCTGCAGCACCTTGGAGAGGCTTGAGGTCTGTTGGCATTTCGTTGCGGCATCAGGCTGCAAAACTCAAACGCTATATTAAATGCTGAACCCTGCAATGCGTCCTAGCTAGGTGGGAGGGAAGAATATCAAATATCGGAGGGTTGGAAGTGGCAAGTAGCGATTGCTCTCGACAGTCTTTGGCATTGAGATCCGGTCAAGTGAACTTGGTTTCACTTCAGGTTCTAGCGGTGCCGTACCCAGGCGAATTGCAACCCGAAGCCCTATGCCCTATGAATCTTCGCCGAATATACATCAGCAGCAGGGATCACCCCGCGACCCTGGACAGCAGAACTGTGGCAGTGCTGGAAGCCTACGTACGAGCTGGAGTACTGTAGGAGGGGGCCAACTGTAGGAGAAGACCAACCAGGACGTAGGTTTCAGGGTTTAGGAAGCAACGATCTCCCCCTGTGTGAGAGCCGAAAACGGAATTTAGGAATGGCTGGTGCAGGGGTTTGGGAGTGACGGGTTTCGGGAGCTTGAGGTTCAAGGAGTTCGGTTTAGGGGTAAAGGGGCTTACAGGTCTAGGGTTTGGGAAGTTTCGGCTTTGGTCGACACCTCCACTTCGTGTAAGGGCTGTGCTGCGTCGTGCTAGTGCAAGGATTTCGCTACGAAATCCATACCTAGACCTAACGCCTTGACCTACCACCCGATACCGTGATCTCTACTCTGCTCAAAATTCTGAAACCTTCAGTAAACCCTATTATTCGTCTAATCTTAGACTCCAACATGAGAAGCACTCGCTGTCTTCTTGAGGCAAGCACTGCGTTCGCGTGTCTCCAGGGTCATGGAGACTATGAGTCTGAACCTTCGGCTGAATCCACTAGTAAGGACCAGTAGCGGTGTGCTTGTTGAGAACTACGCAACTTAATATAGCATGAAGCCCAGGGTTTGTTTAGCATATTCTTGTTGATTTGGGTCCAAGGGCTTGCATCTTGTTAATGATTACTACAAGCGGTGTATTGGGATCGTAGGTCTCTGCGAATATAGAGCTCAAAACTCTAGGGCTTAGAAGCTTCGCGTCTGGAGTGCAGGGTCTAGAAATTTCGAAAAGGGTCCTTCTCGAAGTGTCAAAATGCACGTACTAAACTCAATACTATTGCGGATGGTGTTACTCTGCTTTGAGTGTGAGTCATATTTGTTGCCGAGATGCCAATCATTCGCGTTTTTGCTAGTCGCTATGATGAAGTCACTGGAGCTGCAGGTCAGGACCTGGTAGAGCAGTTGGTGAGGAAATTGTTCGGCGGCACAGGCTGCCTAGGGCAGGCTACGATGTCAGCCGGCGTGGTCGGGGTTGGGGGCTTGGGGTTTAGTGTTCACGGGTTGACGGTTGGGCCAAAACTTCTTAACCTGTCGAATCCACCGTAGAACAAAAAGGCGTTAAGGCTCTCCCGGCTGTAAGCAATTTTGCTCCCCATGAGCTCGGTTGGATCGGTTCAACACCCTTGCAACGATTGTGAAACCCAAGGCGCCACTCTTTATGGTAGCGAACTTCCGGTCAAGCAAGGTGCCTGACATGGAACCTTTAAGCACTTATCCCCAGTCCTAATCCCTGTCGGAGACCAAGAGCCCTTCAACCCCCTAAACCTGAACCCCCACGCACGGCAACAATTTTCGCACCTGTGAGGAAAACCGAAGCGGTAGCTTCCGAGTCTCTGCTGGCGACGTTTTGCCACCTGCTTCAATTGACGATGGATAGCTTTTGGGGCTCTATTCTTGAGATTCACGGCTTAGGGTTTTCTGGATACCCGATGCAACAAGGGTCTGCATACACAGGGAATTGAAGATGTTTGTGCGGTGTTATGTCTGCAGTGACTCGGTAGAGCCTAGAAGTGCCGGCACACGGATTGACACTTTATTCGCCTCCCTGAAGAGAGATGTCTCCCAATGACCCCACCTATTTTCTTTAATTGAAAGTTCCATTGGGTATCTTGGGTGGTGGTGTAGAAGACGTCGAGGATTATATAAGACTTCGGCAACAAACACCTTGACTAGTTTATGGTGGGGCTGGGTTATGTATATGTATGACTAGCAACCTGCTATGTTTTGAGCTGGAGCCTTAGGGCCCCTAGGGGAAAGAAGAGGCAGCAATGACACGCAGGTGACGCACACTGCTTTCTGGACTCGGATCTCTGCTTCGAGCGTGACGAGCGCGCCATCGCATCGCCGCTTGTCATCTCAGACGGCTTTTAGGCCATAATGTAACTTTCGTCTTGGTTGGGTAGCACTGAGGCTGGGCTCACACTCTCGTGAGCAGCCGGCGGGAAGCTTCAGGTTAGCAATTACAATCGGCTTCCGGAGTTGGTTACACTCGGGAACCCTGAAGGACTAGTATTCCTAGTCCTTCAGGCCAGAGTCCCCCCGCGAGCCTGGTTTTGCTACGTACACTAACCCCAGGATGATATGGATGATATCCCCAGAGCCTGAATGCAGCACGGAATCTTATTGCAGCCCAGCACAAAGATAAACATATGTATTCGGCCTACTCAATAGAGTGCCACTGTCGTCATCTTGCACCGCGTCTGCAAACATGCACTTGCCCATAAGGAGCCCATCTGTGCCTGTCCGTCGATTTATGCTCGTGGCTTTCGCGCTTTGAGTGTTGACATGCGTCTTTCTTCATCTGCCTTTCGAAATGGTCTTCTACTGGGGCCCACCCGATCTGTCTTTGCTTTCCTGTGCCCATACCTGTCCACCTGTTTGCCTGTTCGTTCACCTGTATACCCCCATCCATTTGCCTACCTCGTTGCTGTCAACGTTCAACTTCCGTGTCCCTGTCTTTCTTCGGTGTCCCCCTTGTCGTCGTTTTCGCCGTCCCTGCGGTGCCAGTGACCTTGGTGGCAGCAACAACCGAAACAAAGAACACAGACTCACCGTAAGCCCGAAATTAAAGAGCACGACTGTACAGCTTCCCTGCAAGAGATCCCCGTCGCGATTGAAATGGTTCACAGTGAAGTGTCCATCTGAGGATGCTCTTACGATCTGGGAACAATGCCGGGATCAAGCCACCTGGAGCATGGTTCACATATCGGGGCCCAAACTGTTACCAATACTATTTTCGGTTTCGTTATTGCAAGTATACTGTAGAATATAGCGAAAGCTTATTTACATTATTAAGGCCCCTATATCAGGGCAGTGGGGTTCTGGGTTCAGCGCCTGAGCGTTTTTTCGAAAGAACCGGCAAGCCCCAAAGCCTCGCTCGGCCCTTCAGAGAAATTAGAAGAGCTTTTTTCTCTGGTTTTCTGGGCTCCTAAACTACGTGGGGCTTGCATCCATCTAGACCGCTCAGCCGAAACTCTACATGAATGGAGTTCCACGATTACACCTTCTGCAGGCGTTCAGGGTGCGTTGAGTCTGTACAGCGCCAGCGATAAGTCTCAGCCAAAACATTCGCGAACAGATCTCGGCTTGTTGATCTGGTGGGAAGTCTGGGCCGAATCACAGCAGCAGTACTGTGGGTGGGTCCAATGGAAACTGTAGGTTAAAGGTGGTGGTGATGTACAGGCAGCGGCAGTAGCGCCAGCACCGTCGGACCTCCTGAAAGGACGACTATAGTGGGGCGCTGAACGGTCAGTCAGTAGCTGGCTATAGCTATCGAGACTCGACCCCCGGCGTTTTCGGGAAGATGTGTGCTAGAGCCGAGGATGGTTCCAACATGACCGTAAATCTAAGAAACCACGTGCGACTGTGAGAGTCTATCAATCCTGATGAGGTTCTTGTCCTACATCAAGACGCCTGAAGATGAGCTTCGCTTCTTAAAGCTAACACGAAGAGGCGAGGAGAGTTGAGCCCGGCTCATCTAGTAGGGGGCCTTAGTCCTTGTTGATAGTTATAGAAGTAAAGTGTAAGATTCTTACAGTTCCTATATTGCTATAGTACCATTTTCCCTTAAACCCTTTAATTATCATATTAGGCCCCTGTCACCCCTGTCTTACGTAGATGGCGATGCCCACCAAGTCCCTAGCTGCGCGGCGCAGTCTTTTGCGAGCAATCCGACCGTTACCACGGCACGGGCACCATGGGCAGGAATAGTGGAGATTCGCGTGATGGGGCAAGTACGTAAGCAATGAACACATGTATCACAACGCAAGAAACGCAGTGATGGTGTATGCCCTCCTCTTGGACATGTACTGAAGTAGCCCGCTGTATGCTTCGTTGGTGCTCTTGTTGCCTCCTATATCATATGTGCTGGTCGCAGCCATTTTCTGCAAAGTCTTCTGTCAGTAGCAGCTTTCGGCTTCGCAACCATGGGATGCAACTCGTCAGTTCAAGTTGATGCATGGGATATGCCAGTGAATGACCGCGGCGGTGGTGGGCACACGTTTCATGCGAAGCACAAGTCTACAACACCGCGGGCATCAAAGGTGGCCAAGCGAAATTCCTCGCTTCCCCATCAAGTTGAGGGATGCGAGTCCGAAGACTTCCTTCCAGACTTCATCCGAGTGTCTGTTCCGGCCGATCTCCGAGAGGACATCAAACCAGGGCCCATCCTCACGGATTTCACGGAGCCGACGGAAGAAGTGAGCTCCTGGGATATGCCAAGCCTGAAGCAGCGTTGGAAGGATCTGCCCGCGGATCTGATGCTCCCACCAGATCAAGAAATGCACACAGAGCACGTGAAGAGACTAGACAAAGTCCTCAGAGTAATCAAGAGGTCGCCGGACTTGCTAAGACAGGAAGTCGACCAGAAGAGGAGGGAGAGTGGGATGCCACCGGTGCGAAGTCACGAGCTATGACAAGAGCAGCCGACGCCATGACGAAGACGTAAGGCAGATGTGTAGAGGGCCCTATGATGCCCTAGGTGCAGACTCCGACATCTTTACACAATAAACATTCTATTTTGGCCTGGCCCCTACTAGCAGTTTGCAGATGGAGTGCAGCATTGTTGGGCTGAACCCCTTGATGATATGCCCCTGGTGTCATGTTGTTTCTGCACATCAGCGCTTCTGCGGTTCCCTCCAAGCCCAGGTAGATAAATAAACCCTATTAATGCGTTGCGTTACTATGGTGGCATGGGCACAGCAATCTAACACATGTCGTCCCGGGCTTCTAGGGTCTTGCAGGTGACTCAAGCCCGAGTTGTCCAGCATAGCTGCAGAGAGCCGTGTATGTTAAAAAGGTGCCTAATCTTGTGTTGTCCTTGTGTTACAAGCACCTTAGACATGGGGGAAGACCTTTTTAAAGCGCACGCGACGGAGTGTGCCAGTGTTTGTTACAGCGGTCGAGGCAGCAGCCATTTCGACCCGGCGGTCATCCGCCGTAATTCCGAATACATATTTCCACCTTTCCTCACTTCCACGCGCTTTCTGCTTTTTGTTGAAGCGGAGTTGCGGGCTCATGTTCGGGCTGTTGCCTCTCTGTCATGTCAGTAGCACGGCAGCCCTTCTGATGCATCATGTTTGGCTAATCCCGCAGCAGCCCAGCATGAGCGATGCTTTGCACGCCTTCGCAGGCGAAATCCCCAAAGACGTCAGTGTTCTCATGAAAAGAATGCCAGCCTGTAGCACGCAGGGGTCGAGGGGGCAGGGTTGTAAAAGTCGGACCCCGAGATTTTGTCCTACTTCCATAGTGACCTAAGTGTGAAGACTCGATGTAGACATGGCGGTAGAGTTGAGCAGGGGCCCCCATTCAGCCTGGCTTACACAAAAGCATGGAACACTTCAGTCAGTCGTTACAGTGCTGTCGGTCGGTGTGGGTTCGGGGAATTTTCCTTTAGCTAGGCCTGGGCAGGTGCTTCGTCCGGGCTTATCAGGATATGAGGGTTAGGGTTCCTTTGAGGATTTCTCAAGGGTATCTTAAGGTTCCGTTGGGTTTTCCATTCGGCGAAAGCTCAGCTTGTTCTGCAGTATGTAATGGTGCCTGTGCCGCCAGGCAGTCGGCAGGAGCAGGGTGCCATCGGGTTTCTAATCAAACCTGCGCCATCAGCTTCCAAAAGGAGCAAAAGTAGAAGCTTTCTGCATCTGACCGTTCAATTGTCAACCCATGCCTGCTCTTATTTACCATGCCAGTTGTGCGAAGACATGTCTCCCACGAACACATTGCCTTGCAAAACCTTGAGTTGCAATGCAGGGGAAAATCGTACTTCCACCGCCGTGGCTCAGGCGATTAACCTAGGATTGACGCTTGGCAGCAAATACAAGCACATTATATTCATGATAGTGAGTTCGAGTTGAATTGAATGTACACTGCAGTAATGATAGAAGAGCCCATCGCTTTTAAGCCAATATCCGGGAATATCTTCACGCATACACGCATGCATCTTCAGTCATGGCTTGTACATATACCCGAACATGTCATGATTGTTGACCCTGATTCCTGTGCCTGGACATGCGAAACTACGGGTGCATGCAGCGTGCATGCCAGCATTCCAGCACAAGGGCAAGTAGGAAAGCAAAGGCGCATTGAAGTGACATGTTCAGACAATCATGGGCTTAAAGCACGTGGAACGCACTGGAATACAATGCAGGGGGATGTCAAGGAGTGTCATGGGATGCGTCTATCAGGTAAGGCGAGGAAAGGGTACAGCAAGGGTGAAGGCATGTGAGCACGTGCAACTGCGGGCAAGTGCTCACAGACGTACGTGCTGAATTTGCATGTTCATGCTACTATTGCATCTAGTAGTAGTATTCATGAGATCACACTAGCTACAAATATCTAAAAGCTTAGAACTCGTTGGCTCGATACATAGGTGAGGCAGCGCAGTACGCGGTACCAGAAAAACGTTAAGACAACACCGAAGTACAGGGTAGGCTTTCAGGTTTCGGGTAGCTATAAGGGTTCTATGAGGGTGGCTATCAGGTTTGGTCAGCATAAGTTACCAAAAGTAAGTAAGGGATGGCGGGATTAGGTTTCCTAGCTAAGGAAGGACGGCTACAATGACCAGGCCGCCGCGGACGAAGGGTCGGGGATGGTGGGCTGAGATTGAAATTGGGTTTCCTGGGTGGGATTTGGATTCTTGCTTCGCAACTTTAGGTCCGAACCAGTCTCTATCGCCTCTTTCCTACCCAATGTGCACTGTAGTTCAGTAAGCATGCATGAGCCGGTCATCTCACATGTGTTCGTTTAGATCATTGTTGCCAATAATGTTGGATGGGGCCTTGGGGCAAGCTCGCACCACTGTTCCACATAAGGATCAGGCCGGAGGCTGGAGTTCGCGAGATATGGACGCCCTGAACGTCGAAATGGCATCAGCTTGGGTACGCGCGCGACTTCCCTTGTGGAGTCAGCCTCAAGCTTCACTCGTAGCAACAACCCTGGCGCAGTGAAGCAAGCTTGAGCCCCGATCGCCGACCCACACATGCACGGTCTTCTTATTTCTGGCATCATGGGAACCATCAACTAACAAGAAGACTTCCGCTCCCCAGAGCCTCAACTCTAGATCTGGGTATGCTTCTGAATGAGCATTGCGCTAGAGCCGCTAAAGTAGGCCCTTACATAGATGTGAAGTAGGTCAGGCGGTTATAGCAAGCAACCCCATGGATGGCGAGGTGAATGTGGAGCTCTTCCACGTCCTGACGCAGGATCGCTTAGGTCGTAGTCGACATCTGATCGGCCTACGAGAGTACAGCTGCCCAAACTGCAATAGCTTAGACTCTGGGGTTTAAGGTTTTGGTTCGGCTGGGCCGTCTATGGATTAAAGGTGTGCAAGGTCTGCGGTTCAGGGGTTGTTGGGTGCATTCATCATGTGCGTTGCTGACAAGAACTTATAGGGCTTGGGAGTTGCGACCGTTTGGAGCGACTTGTTCGCCTTTCAAGCTGTCTGTGTTTTCTCTGCATGTCTTCAGCATTCGAGGAACAGGGCTCATGGGTTGATGAGGGATATTCTCGGTAAGTTGAAGGTTCAGGATACGATCTAGGGCCATCGTTGTGGACCACAATACAGGCCATTGGGCGCGGGAGAGTGGGAGGCCTTCTTGCCTTCCCCGCGTGACCCAAAACGTGGAAACTGTGCTGAATTTGGAGCCCAGGCCAAACAGTACAACGGAGACGTTCGAGAGCCGCAAGTCCTTATCATTCTTCGTTTTGCTGTGACATTCGTTGTCGTTCTTGCTAATTTGCTATCACTGCGTCTTTTGCGCGTTAGTTACCGCTAGCTATTGACGTTCTCAATTCGGTCTCCCCCGAGTGTAGCCTCAGGCCAGGAAGCCAGGTCTGGTGCTGCTGGCTTTGCTGATGACGCACTGCAAATAGGCCCGACGTGGGCCCTCCTTTGACATTTGGAGTTAGCCAGCCTCTGCTACCCCGACCCGAAGGTTCTAGCGAATTTCCGGTTCAGTGTGGAAGGTTTGGGTTCAAGCGGCCCCCTTTTGCCCAGTAGTTGGTGATTCGCTGATGAAGGCAGTGCCCGCTCTACTCCTGAACCATGAATCTGTACACTGTTTCCATGACTCAGACGTCACAGCTATAGCAGCTGTTGTTAGGCAACAACAAAGCTTCTGACTTGCACTTACTGCACGCATGGCTGTCGTATAGTTTCAGTCTCCACTTTGAAGAAATGCCGCACTGTCTAGGACAAAGCAAGATACCCTCGCACTCGAAGCAGGCATGAGATCCGGCGAGGACCACAGCGACGAGAGTGTGGCCTGACTGCACCATCCCCCGGCGTGCGCACCGTTGCTAGTCTCAGCCTCCTGGTGTGTTCATTTGCAGTTCATGCTCTTTGGTCGTCGTGGCTTCTGTTCACTAACATGAGCATCCACGCTACAAACTATTTGCTGCTTGTCTCCCATGCTGTTGGAGTTGGTTCCTGATGAACATTTTGGTTGCTTGCCTTATGCATGAATATACTTCGCAACCCCAATCTAGTGGTTAATGCCGCTATATTGCCGTAAGCCCTAAGCGGAATAGACCCCTTAAAGTAATGTAGAGCCCTCAAAGGAAAGCCCGACCCCAAAAAACCAATAGTGTTGGAGAGCCCTATAAACCCTGTGAAAACTCTAAACCCTATACCCTCTAAACCCCTGAACCTCAGAGCCGCGACCCAGGAATCCAGCTCGCAGACCGACAGCTCTGCGAGCGCAAGCTCGGAAGGCGAAGGCGCTGTGGTTTTGTTCTGTTTGAAGCGGGGTTTGGGGTTTAGGGGGAGGCAGGGCGAGCTCCAACGAGCCTGTAGAAAACAGAGTTGAGGATAGAGGGGCGGGGGACAAAGTTGCGCATTGTGCATAAGTTCTAAGAGTTTAGGGCTTTGTTAGAGTTTGGGGTCTAAGTTTGCTCTTACGGTTCTGGGCTTTGGGTGAGTTTAGAAAATTGAAAACGCCGACCCCTTTAGTACTCCTTGTCGATGTCCTGATATCGTGCTCTAGGGCTTAAGTTTTTTTAAGTGGCGACTTGAAGGATTGAGAGTTTGGGCTTTCGGAGGGTTTAGAGGACTCAGTGTTAAGCGTGTAGGGCTTCGGGCTCAAGTTACGTACGGTGCAAGCGTTTCAGGCTTCAAAGTTTGTGTTGGCGTATGTGATCATGCAGTAACGGTGATGCCAGCAGTTATCGCCCTCGTAAGCATATATGTATGTATGTATGTATGTATGTATGTATGTATGTATGTATGTATGTATGTATGTATATATATATATATACAAGATACACCTAGGAACGTGTTCTTTTTTCGTCCATTGGCCCTGGCCTCTTATTATGCTCGCTGAAACCGCAAGAATCAACAGCAACCCAAAGCAGATTTGCACAAATGCGTGCCAAGACGAAAAGCAGCATGCACCCAAACCACCCCCTGGCCAACGAGTCTTTGATCTCGCTTGTGGTTTTTATGCTCGAACCTTTGGACAGAGAATCGTGGTTCTCTAAAGTATCCCAGAGACTACCCCGGTTGTTGCCAATACCGTTGTGGTTCCTCTGTTTTTTTTTGTTGTTCTGGGTGTCCATTACTACCTCATGAACCGCACAAGATAAGACGCAAAGGCAAGGAGGACAAGGATCCCGAGGAGGAGGAAGCCTTCATTTTGTTTGACTGCGAGGAGCTTCTCGCCACTTCTTTTGTGGGCCTTGGTTTCGGTGGGGTGGTGCTTGGAGTTTAAAATAGACTTGGCTTTGGGCATTCCTTTGAAGACCAGGGTAATTAGTTTGGGATGAAGGATGCAGCAGCACAACACAAGCGCTTGCTGGCCGTCGCAAGTACTTGTAATTACTGTCGGGCTTTCACGCTAGGGCGAGTCTATAGTTCGTCAGCCGCCTGAGCCTCTGAAGCACCACGAGATCTGTGAAGGCTGCAGCTGGCAGATCCTAAGCCGCGACACCCTGAATTCCCTGGACCTTTCTTCCGACCTTGTATCCCTGATGTGCACTGCTTCTGTGTCCGTTCGCATCGGAATCAGATTGAAGTCGGCACGTCCCACGTCTCGATTTTGGAAGCTGTGTGGCGTGAGTTGGTCAGGGGAATCTCATACCTCGGTCAAGTAGTTAGTTACCTGCAGTGATGGAATTGCGCGATGCCGCAAGCCCAAACCGAAATCCGTGAAGCAGAGCCTTTCCAGCCGCGAAATCTGGCCCCTTCACCTCGAAGAGGCTCACGACTAAGATCACTCACGGAGAGAGCCCACTCTAAGCTAATGCAAGTAGAAGGCTTACAATGTTTTGTGCGCCTCTCCGTCCTCACAGGGATAGAAGCCGAAGCACTCTCTGAATGCTCATGCTACTGCTGTCACAAACAACACGTACGACAGGAACTCAGCGAGGGTTGTCGCAGTCATGCCGACACCAGTCATCAGGATAATGCTGTTGTGAAAGATGACAGTGCCCAACGGGGGCCAGCAAAACTGCTGCAATAATACGCAGCGGCCCGGCTGAAGCTGGCGGTTTTTTTGGTCAGCATCCCTTTCACTGAGGCTGGAGATTATGGGTGCCTCCAAGCGGCTGATCCAGAAGACGGGCATTGAACTGGATTCTTTGCAGCCTCTAGATGTTGGTGTCTCAAACCTTCAGGCGATTAGAGAAGTCATGCAAAAAAAGGGGGTGGTGTCGTCTCAAGGGGTTCTTGGGAAAGTGCTGTGAAGTCCGTGGATGAGTCAGTACTCGTAAATGCCACGGACAACATGAATCCGAGAAGTTTATTTTGATGACCTTTCGAGGGCTCCGACTTTAGGTTCTTATTTCTTATAGTTTTGTTTGCGAAGCCTCTTTGTCCTGTGCAAAGACACGTATTTCCCGGTGGAGTCGTTGCAGACCGGATGTAAAAAGGTTCTTGTAATATTACAGTCTTCCAAATTCAGCAGTGGCGGCTCAGTTTTTCTACCCGCGCTCTTAAAGCACAATGTCGTGAGATCGATCCTTGTACCCTGCCTTGCCCGGCTCCGTAATTTAGGGGCCTCAATAATTACCTACATTTTT